CCTAGTATAAGAACTCAAAAGAAGAAATACAAATAGGAAGGTATAATACAAGTAAAAGGAAAGCAGGAACTCGAGGACTAATTAAGAGAGGGAAAGGAGAAGAGCTAGGAAACATGACAGTGACAAGCCATACAGTTATATGTACAAGATGGGCAAGGCAATGATCCTGAGAATCTCCACAAGATTTTTCAATCTAGCAGTTAATTGGAAAGATTCTCACCCTGACTAACTATATACTGATACCTGTGAACTAAGCAACTGCACTGAAGATGGTAATCTGTAATAGTAGTTTCATGCTTGGAGTGCCTGTCTGGTCTTCTGAACATGGGCTGCTTGTCGTGACATGCCAGTTGCTGCTGTGCTGTCTCTCTGGTAGATGATTGTTCAAAAAGAAGGAGGTGGTGAATGAAAGCAGGAGACAGGAAAGGAATGTTGTGGGACTGTTCTGCTTCAAGGTTGTATATGGTTAGGTTTTTGGACTTATGTGTAAACATAAGAATTATATAATTCTTTATGCCTATTTTTAAAAATATATTCTAATTTGTAAATGTTTTTTGATCATATTTTGTAGGGACTTAAAGTTCAACATATCAATACTTGATGAAAAATACCTGTTCCATGTTATGCCTAAGATGCTTGATATTCAGACAGATAGTGAGGTTAAGCTTAACAGCCTAGGTTGTATAGTAATAACAATAAGCTTATCTTCTGGATCCTTCCTTTTTTTTTTGGCGGAGCTGGGGATTGAACTCAGGCCCTTGTGCTTGCCAGGGAAGCGCTTATTCCACTGAGCCATCTCCCCGGCCCCAAGCTTGTCTTCTGGATGGTTAACAATCTAAGTTTGCAGACCAAAATTAGAGAAAAAGGAGGGCTGCAAGGAAAGCCAACATTTTGGCCCTTGCCTTCCAAGGTCAATTACGACCCACGACATATGAGAACTTGTACTGTAACGTCACATAACTCGGTAGTGTCCCACATTGGCCATGCAATGGCTGTGACTCATCCATATGACTGACACTGACAAAGCTTCTACAATCTGAGGTACAGGATCTCCGGATAAATCCTGAGGTGATTTCACTGACCTTAACAGCTCCAAAAGCTACAACTCTTGTTGCATAGGTCCTGCTTTACCTTGTTTAACCATCCAGCAGAAAAGTATAAAAACGAAGTATAAGAAGTAAAGCCAAACTGACTCATCCACATTGCTGACACTGACAAAGGTTCTACAATCTGAGGTATAGGATCTCAGGATAAATCCTGAGGGGATTTCACTGACTTTATCAGACCCAAAAGCTAGTACTCTTGTTGCATAGGTTCTGTTTTACCTTGGTCTCAACCATCCAGAAGAAAAGTATAAAAATGAAATATAAGAAATAAAGCCATGCTGTTATGTTGAGCTGTGGGGGACTCAGATCAACAATTTCTGACGTTGCCAGTTAAGTGGAAGACCCAATACTATTATGGGCTACTGGGCTCTTTTAGAATATTTTGCTGAGTTTACATACCTATAATATTCAAATAATGGAACTTAACAAAAAAAGGGGATACAGATGAATGTCCATTTTGTATCTGTATTCAAAGTGGTTAGGATAGATATATAGTTACATTCTCTTAATGAATACA